GGTTGTTCGGAAGTGATTTTGCATGCATTTCAAAAAGAAACGTTCCTGAAAAATGGCCACCGTTTAGAAATGGCCGTTATTGGATTGAAACTGTATTTTAAAACTGGATTAAAATAAAGAATAAGTCTCCATGCTGACTGCTGTTCATTGATAATTTTATTGTTCTCGATATTGATGTTTTTTTAAATAAAAAAATTAATATTCAAAACAATTGTATAGTCAAAAAAGACTTTTATTTACATAAATTAAAAATATTTCGTATATAAAGAATACTTATATCTGAATAACTGGTGTAGCCTGTGCAGAGTACATACTTATAATCAGACAAACAGAATAAGTTTTTGATTTATATACATTTTAAATTACACATGAAAGAAAGTGATATGTTTTTGTATTCTAGAGTGAGATAAAATACTCAATTATTTCAAATAAAATGAGCTTTAACTTGTTAAACGATATAATTAATTGAAAAATCTAAAAGCAATTATTTCGCATAATTTCCAACAAAATAAATCCATTCGTGATAAAATTCGGGATTGATTAACGAGAGAAACCAGTGTTTTAATGCTATATGAAACTCTATTCCGTATGGACCTGACCGGTAATGGGATCTAATCCTAGTAAAATATTGGAAGATTAAATATTTTTCCTAAAAATAAGTACATTTTGTTTGCATTTCCATAAGATAAAATGTCAAAATTAATGATATATGAAGTTTCATAGTTTTAAATGATTTTACTCGCAAATGTAAACTTTTAATTCATTTTATAATTGTAACTATACTACAATTAGTCAAGTACATTAGAATATAATCTTTCCTTAAATTTATCTATCTGCTCAATAGTTTAAATCATTAATATGAAATAATATTTGCCTTACTGTGTTTGAACACCGTTGATTAAGAACTAGGATTTGTTGTCTCGCGATCAGTACAAATCTGTATTTTAAATATTAACGTGGAATAATGCGTTTCGTAGTATGGCAAACTTTAACAAGTACGTAACGATAGGTTATAAATGATTACTTCCTGAAAGATAAAATCTTTAAAATTTCAACTAGATCGGAAATGGGAAAGTGGGTGAAAATTAAATTACAAGATTATATCTAAACAGTAAGACTAAAAAGGGCAAGGGATTTCCGCTTTTAAACGATTTGTTCTTCGTCTTTTTTTTCTTCTGTCCGTTTCATATGGAGATTCTAGCTTTAGTTGCTCTTTCTCCGATAGACTTTTAAACGACTTAAAAGGGTGCTCACAATTTATTAAGCACGGATGGCGCCATCTATTATCAAATTGTATTTAAACATTTAAATTTTTCACTAATTTTTTGCTAAAATTCTTTGCAAACTAAAAAAAAATGTATTATCATCGGGAATTCAAATATTGTGTATGCAAAGTCGAGAGTTGGGAAATGGGTGAAAATTGAGTTACAAGATTTTATCGAGACAGACTAAAAAATAGAGTAAGTTAATAAATAGCGTATAAATAAAAAATGCCTATTATTTAAACTGGTAAATGAAGTTTTAAAAGAAAACGTTTAATTATTTACAATTGAGATGCAATTCGGAAAAATTGTAGACCTTTAAATTCCCACTGTCGTCTGTCTGTCTGTCTGTCTGTCTGTCCTTAATCTCGAGAACGATGTCAGTTAAATTAAAGATGAGAGTTGATGTGGAAAGCTTACAGACAGGAGATCCCTATTAAATATATAGAAACTTCCAATAAAAACCGGAAGTTCCGTTATTTCAATTCAAAAATTTCCCTCTGAATAGAGTTACTTAGATGACTGGCATGACTCTGTTGTTATCAAAAAAAGTATGATGTACAGGGGCCAGACATTACAAATTTGAGATGGAGAATATATGTTTTAAATTAAATTAAGAATATGATTAAAAGTTTCAGCCCCGGCATTGTATGACATCACAATAAATAATTGTTCTGAATAGAAATTTAATAGATTATTAAAGGATCATGATTACGCAAGATACCGAATTGTCACAATTTTCCTTTTTACAGAAGGTGTCTGACACGTAATAGTATCGATTAGCATGAGGACATAGAGAACAATGCCTAATCTTAAAGAACAGTTTTAAGGTGCATCAGCAGTGGCGGCCCTAGCCAGGTTTTCAGGTGGTGCGAGATCTCATCGTGGCGCCCCCACTGTAGAGACTAAACTGATAACGTACATTTTTCACATTATTAATAACTCAGACCTCCGAAGGATTAGTATACTAATATTATGGATGAGAAACGATAACGACGGTAAACGGAAAGTTAACTTGACCCTTGTTGATTCAGGCGTATCGCAAGCTGTTGACGTTTTTTACGTGACGAGTCCAAACGGGTGGAAAAAAATCTCAGGAGTTTTTCGGACAGTGGTCCTTCGCTCACCATTCGACCATCCCATTGTGGACCTGGCCAAACTCATGTTGCCTACCAATGTCCGAATGAATAAAACCACTGAACACTAGTCGTGGGTTCGCTTTTCGGAAAAATCCATGTGGCCGGGTCGGCCACGTGGATTTTTCCGAAAGTCACAAATTCTGGTTTTTCGGGCACATCGATTCCGTCTTCGTCGAACAAATGGTATTTATGATAACGCGCCGCCAGTTTTCCCTTTCTGTCGAAAACCACGTTCGTGTTATACAAAAAAAAAACTCCATCGGGAGGACAAATTCGTAATGAACTGTTGCAAGTTACAAACGTTATTAAATTAGATACTAAGAAAATATTGTTTTTTCGAGCCATACAACTAAGGTCAGTAATTATCGAAGCGTTTCCATATGTGTCNGGCGCAGATGCACTTGCTAAAGCAGCTACAAATCTGGCTGATATATCATATAATAGAATCCCAGTATCCTACATTAAAAGACAATTAAGACAACTAACTATTAATGAGTGGCAGGATGAGTGGAGTAACGGCAGCAAGGGAAGACACACTTTCTGGCTGCTTCCAAGTGTTGAGGAACGAATGTACGAGCTTAGATGGCTCAGACCCGATTATTACATGACACAACTACTTACGAATCATTGCATGACAAAAGAATATCTTAGAAGAGTCAACAGAACACAAGATATCTCCTGTGACTGCAAGAATGGTGATCACAACCTACAGCATCTTCTAGATGACTGTCTTAAACATGAACAAGATAGGATGCAGCTTAGACTGTTATCTAATCAGACATTTCAAACTAATGGTATTGACTTATACATGGTATTACGACAGAAAGACCTTGTGGGTGAATTGAAGTCCTTCACGCAAAAGTTATTGTCGTGAATTAAAGGGGTGCGAGTTGTACCCCAATGATTGTCAAATGATAAATTCTAAGGCAAGTAGCCTATTGTATAAAAGTCTTATACAAACTTTTTTTTTATATTGTTTAATGTAACACGGTTTAAAGATTAATGAATAAAAGTAAAGTCTCCCTTGTGGTGCAGATAGCGGGGCAAGGGTGATGCTGATCCCCAGTAGGGGAAATGATGATTAACAAATGAAAAAAAAAAAAAAAAATGTCGAGAGTGATTCCACCGACTATCCAAACACCATTGTCAAACTTTTAGGCTTACGGGAAAGCGGCGCCGAACGTCACACGTACACGTTTACACGTTTAAAACGTGCGCCTCAACCTCTCTATTATTGTACTTTGTGCGCGTCTAGGCGTTTTAGAACTCTTTCGCCCTGTGAGCCTTTTTTTAGGAAGCTCGTTATGAGTTCGGGCAGGCCCACAATGGGACGGCCGGGTGGTGAGGGACGTCGACCCGACATGTCCGGATGGACCACTTCTTCGGGGATTTTTCGTCTGGATTCAATTCAGGGTTCCCGAAAGCGGTAGGCTGCCATCTTGCCCGCTCGACCATCCGGCCACCTTTTCCCGTGTGTTAAATAATAATTGTTATAATGTATGAAAAATGGGTTTTCTTACATCTGGTCCGTTTTAAAAATTGTCACCGCACGCCGCTGATGATGGGAGTTTGAGAACTACGAAATATTAAGGTTCAAGTATATGAACCTTAAAGGAGAGGACGGGTGGAAAAAATTCACTTAAAAAATGTTTTTTGTGTGTAAGGTTTCAAATACAAATGCATTAAAAATAACATTTAGGACGATACTTCAAGGAATTTAAAGGACTAGCCTAGCCCCCCTAGCCCATTCTCGGCACGCCACTTCCTATCAGACGCGTAGGTTTTTATTTATTTATTTATTATTTTTTTCAGGAGTCACTTTTGACCACTGGTGATTCTGTTTTCTATCAAAAAAGGTGAGAGAAATGGATATACAGTACGCGCACTATGACAATCTGCCATTTTGAAAATGCCCATAACATTCCCCTTCTGGCTATTACTTCTGACTTGACATTTCGCTATATTAGGGCATAGTCCACCAGTAGCCAAGTGTATAAAACACTGAACGGCTAGTCGAACCCATGTTGAGTATAATTAAAAAGATCTTTTTTGTAACGTACCGCGCGACACAAAAAGCGGTGTTACACAAAATTAAGGTTTCAGTCAAGTACCAGGTCTGGACTTGATTAAAATCTATTACTATAAACAACAATGATTACAACAAGAAGTCAAATATATATTTCAAATATCCAAAAAAAAAGTCACGATCAATTATATACAAGCAAAAGACAAACAAACAAACAATCAATGAAAGAAATTCTTTTTTATCCGGCCCGGGACGTACAATTAATTAAATCTCCACCAAAATAAAATCGAAAGTTTTTTGAATTTAGTATATTTCGGGGTTTCTTGGAAGTTTCCATCCTTAAAAAAAGTTTCCGAAAGAAAATAACAACTAAAAATAACGCCCAAAACATAAAATAACGATAGTACTTTAAAATTTTTGTGACCAATCAGATCCTTCCGAGCAACAAGCCTTTACCGGCCACAGAGTCGGTAGATTAACGCCGGCCATCTCACGGCATATATATGTTTCATGTTTTTAAAATATCTATTAAAATATTAGATATATAAATCACATTTTATAAGAAAAATTTTATAAATTGATATAATAAGTTTTTAAATTATATTTAAATTATTTTAAAAAGTTTTAATAGATGATTTTAAAATAGTTCTGGCAACACGTATTATAAACGTCAGCCGCCAGCCTCGAATAAGAACGCATGTGATCTGGTTTTAGAAGTATAAATTTCATCTTTTACGTAAGAAAAATATTTTATTGAAATGTATGAATTTATTTATTTATACCTTATTTATATACACATTTTGGTAAAAGTGCATCTAGGTAGACCATATGGTGGTACTTCCAGTCACTTCCTCTGAATGAGGAGTTTCACACCACCCACAAAATTGTTGATCCTTCGCATGATATTCGTCTCTGAAGGTTAGTTTTTAACAGGTATCAGTCTACTGCCTATTCTACATGCTTCGCATGTAGACGTGCGCCTCGGTGCTCGCTATCGCTCGCTCTCCAGCGTCCAGGTGGGGGCTCGCCTCATCTCCCTAAAAGTATATAACATCAAGTACTCCACGAACAGTCAAGTGGGCTACTCGAAGCCGGCATAGTCACGTGGGCCAAATAATTAAACGCCATAGTCTTGGAAGTACCACCATTGGTGCTACCTAGATGCACTTCTATCCACATTTTTAAATGTGGATAGAAATGCATCTAGGTAGTGCATCTAAGTGCATTTTTAAATAACAGTTGCAAAGATAACGTTAGTCTATTAAATTTTAAAGTATGGTGGGTGATTGGTTAAAGAACAGTTTGGACTGCAAACAAATTGGACAACAAACACTTTCACGAAAGATTTTTATGTTCGGATAATGAACACCTTGCAGAACAAACACGAGAAGCTATGCTGTATTTAATATTTGTAAAACTATTTTAATGGCATCTATGAATGGTTTATGGAACGAGACTTTCACAGTTGTATACATCTTTTTTGCACTAGTTAATTTCTGTTCTCTGAACTTTTGTAAGTGCTTTTCTGAACTTTTTATTTTAAAAACTGATATTATTATGGAGCCTAAAAAGAGTAGTGTGTCAAGAACTGTGTTTACTATAAAAACTAAGTGAGAGATAATAGCCAAGGTAGAGAGTGGGCAGATGATGTCTGATACTGTAGACAGATGACTTCAACAGGTCTACAGTAGATAAATCTTAGCTAATAAAGATAATCAAAAAGACTTGAGCTGATAAAGGAGTAACAAAAATCATATCCGAGAAACAAAGATGTGCCATCCATGAAAAAATGGAGAGATTGCTTTTAGTTTGTTATTACATGTAAATAAACATAGTAAGAAAGTATATAATTTTTATTTTTGTGGGTCTCCAGAACAAATTAATCGAATTCCTACAAATGGTGCCATGCTATGATGTAGAGATGCAGCTGCATCAGGAGGCACCATAATGGGGTGGCATAAGCGGCATTTCAAAGACTTGCATCATACTGAGAAAATCTACTGCACAGCCCTGCCTACAAAAATCTATGTAAATCGTTAATAAACAGTTTGGATAGCGAACATAGTCTTGGAACAGATTATGTTCTTTAACTGATCACCCACTGTAATCGGTAATCTCTAATTATTCCAATTTTGTAGCCTATTAGTTTGTTGGGCTGCAATTTGAAAAAATTGTAGACTTGTCAATTCCCACTGTCGTCCATCCATCTGTTGACTGACTGTCTTTCCTTAATCTCAAGAATGGAGTTAGGTAGATGAAAGATGAGATCAGATATGGAAACCTTAGGGACAGGAGATCTCGATTAACTATATACAAACTTCTGATGCACCAGAAATCATGTTATTTCTATTCAAACATTTTCTCCAGAAAGGTGTTAGATGATTAGCGTGACTCTATTGTTAAAGGAAAAGTATGATGCACATGGGCAAGTCACTACTAATTTCAGGTGGAGTGAATATAAAAAATTGAATTATGACTATTTACAAAAAATTAATTTTTCTGAATCTATCTTTCATCTTTTTAACACACCACAGAAGTAACAGTATATTGGCTGGATGAACTTCCACAGAACAAGTGCTAAATTATAATGAAAAACACAGAAAGTTAAAAATGATTGAAATGCCGAACTTTTATTCGGCATCCTTTATCATTAAAACAGTGGTTACAATTTCTAACAATTTTGTAAATAGTCATAATTCAATTTTTAATTGAAGATATCCTAGGTTGTTCATGTTATCATGTATGCTGTTATGGAGTAAATATATTTTAAATTAAATTAATTAAAAACTGCAGCAAGGCATTGTGATAATGTCACAATAAATAATTGCTTGTTGAATATGTAGATTATTTCCATGAATGTTAGAGGGCACATGTAAAACAAAATGAATATTCTCAAATCAATTCACATAAAAGATGAGGCAAAATTGGGTCAAGTAAGATTCAAGTACAGAGATTTTCAAATTTACCCGTAGCTGAGTTAAGTTTTTGTTTCTTGTTAAAAAATAGTGTGCAAAGTTACATCAATTACATTAAGACTCAGAATCAACAAAAGCAACTTGAAGTTTTGTTATTTCCTAAAATTTGGTCAAAATGTGCTCAAATCATTGAAAACATTCAAAAGTTTGTTTTGACAATTCAAGCATTTGATTATATTATGTACTTCAAGGATATTAGATTATTTAGAAATAATAAAGCATTTAAAAATATTAGATCATTTGAAAGTATGGTGTTTTATAGATTATTTGAATCAATTAGGACCAAGCACAGATCAGAAATGTGAATGTTTGGATAAGTGAACATTGACCTATTAATTAATGTGGACATGTATATTATACAATAGAGTAGTATATAACATAAAAGTGTAATACACTACCTTATTTGCAAAAGTAATTGCTGATTTTTTTTGTATCAAGGTTGGTATTCATTTTTTTGAACGGAGATCTCTGACTTATTATAAGAAGCAATTGTGTAAAGTTTATTATTTCTAACTCAGCAAAATGTATCAACATGCATCAGTCCACTGCTTTCTTTTTCTTTGCTGTTGTTTTCATTTCTGTTTCTTTTGTTAAACCTGTTAACACTATCAGATGTTTCTTTTACATAAATCAGATATCACTTTTATTTAGAATCTGAAATGTAGTGTTGTTATCTTTACTGTCTAATCACACACGTATCATCATCACTTCATTCTTTTCATCATGATTATTTTTATTGTCATCTAACAACCAGTTTCCTGTATTCATTTTTTAAATTCTCCCTTGTTAAAAAAAATCCCAAGCCTTCAGTTAACATGTGGCAGATTCAGCTTCTTCAAAAATGCAACAGCACTTTTTGTTCTTCTCTGCCAAAAGCATTTCAGAACTATATATATATATAAATTGTCTTAAGTTTCTCAATGACATCTTGATTAATTGGTTGATGTAGAGCAGGTGTGGCCAAACTTTTATCCCTTAGGGGCTACTTTTTTGGTAAAATATAGTCTGTGGGCGACTATGAATATGGGCAAACAATTTTAGGTATTTTATATGCGCATGCATTAACATTCATTTGCATTGTTCATCGAGATAAATACAAACAGTATGGGTACGTTGCACAGACAGTCTATTATTGTAAGAATAAATTATCGAATTAAGATTTTTAAACATTAATTTAATTGATTTAAGTGAAAGCAAATTGTTCAACTTTAGCTT